TAAAAAAAGTCATTATATATATTATATATATATATATATATATACACACACACACATATATATATTATATATAATATATATACACATACACACACTTTTAAAAAAGCTGTATATTTCTTAAAAGCTTGTACACACAAGATGTTGAAATTATAAAATTCCACAAATCAGTTTCAGTTTTAGTTCTCATTTATTTCTAGCCTGGTAGATGTCATCCATTTGAGAACAGCTCAAAACAAAAATAATGTGTCTTATTGTCTGAGATTGTGTCTTAAAAGTGTACTGCCACTTTCTGCATGGTTGCTGAACTCCTGGGGGTGGAAGCCAAGGTATGAGCGTGGTATCAGGTCATGTTCTGAGGAGGGGGCAGGCTGGGGACAGACCGGCCCCCGGGTCTTTCCTTTCTCTTCTTCTTCTTTCCATCCTCAGCAAATGGCTTCACCTCCATCTGACTGGTTCCTTATCTATGCAGTAAAAATGTGGACTACCAGGGACCTGAAGACTCCTGATATTATCTGTTTAATCATGCACCCTAAGGGCTGAGCCTCCCGAGTGGCCTCCGTTTAACAAAATGCCATGTTTAAGAGCATGCATTTTCCTGGGCCTGGTTCTGTGGTCAGCCATCTGGGGAAACAATGATCTACGCTAGCCTGCAAAGGCCCACATGCTATCAGAGATCTTTTTCCTGAAAACAATGACATGCGGAGACATTCAAATCAAATGCTTTTTATAAGTTATAAGGAAATCATGCTGAGGCTAATTTTTTTTCCCCCTTCGGCACCGCTGTTGAGCATAGTACACTATGTTCCCACAATAGCATAAAATGTATGTCTTATCACTTGAACATAGCCCAGACAATAAAAGGGCGCCCGAGACTGGAAATATGTCTTCTGAGAAAGGCCAAACCAGCCTTAAGTGATAACACCAACTGGGGATGAAGAGAGTGAAAAGAAATGATTACAGCACAAAAATTCGCAGACTAGTGATGAATGTACTGGGGTCTCAGGGCTCCCAACCCTGCCGAAGGCCTCACTTAAGACGCCAGCCAAGTTACTTGGGACTTTCGCGTCTTAGTTTCTTGACATGTAAAATGGGAATTCTACTCCATGGGTGTGCTGGGGGAAAGAAAATTACTGGAAAATGCTTCCATTCCAACGTCAGGTAAAGGTAACATTTTGTTTCCTCGTGCCGGGAATTTGGTTTTTGTTTTCCTGTTTATTTTCATACATATTCAAGTGCCCACAAGTATTTTCTCTCTCAAAAATCCCCATTTCTCCTTCTGGTGGAATGATTCATCGAGAATCTTGGCCTAAGTATACTGCTGTTTCAGGGAAAATGGACTCTGGGGAATGAATTGGGAACATAATCATGGCCGTTCAAACAGCCTCGTTATAAGGCAACTCAGCGTGTGTGAGACTCTCCACGGAGCAAATGAGTAAGACATGGGGAGCCCTGTTTGGAGAGCTCATAAGTTCACACCGTTCTATGCCAGCAGCCAGGAGGGTAAGCTGGCTGAATGCTCCGTGGTCACCGCTGAGCAGCCGCCTCCAAAGAACAAGCTAGACGTCAGGAGAAAGTCTTATACTGGAATAATCATTTGACACTTTTGTTTGTTTTTAAATAGAAATTTTGGATCAGACAGTGAAGGGATAAGAAGGCTTATCTGCAGGAATCTAGTCCTAGGATGTTGGAGGTCTTAGGCAAAGAGACTTTTTTTTGGTGATGTCCATCTTTCCTTCTATCAAAGAAACAACAAAACAAACCAAACTTCTCAGGGGTTTCTAGTGGCTTAAAAAAAGATAATAATGATAATCTGTCCATCCCTTGTGATTTTATTGTGACTGCATAAACAAAGATGCCACAAAACATAGGAATAAACATAAAGGTCCTAAAAGACAAAACCTTAGGATCTTTATTTTGGAAAGCAAACTGTAAATCTGAAAGTGGACGCAACAAGCTACTTTTTTTTTTTTTTTTTTTTTAAGAATTTTTTTCAGACTTTAAGAACTACCCAATTCATACTACTCTTTGGCCTCAGGGACTCCACCTTACATGGCAGCGGATCTTCTAGTTGGAACAAATTTAGAGTACTGGTTTTCATCATGTCTCACAAAATAACTTTCAGCTCGGTGCCTTAACATGGGTTTAATTTTAATTTAAAAGGGATTTTAATTGCACAATGTTTTGAGAATAACGTTGCTGTGTCAGTGGATACTGTCACCCAATGACACGGGACAATGCCCAGCACGCATGAGGATACCCTGCAACTCTCTTGTGCGATCTCCTTCGCCCATCGAGGGAAGTAAGCAGGACAGAGGTTATTAGTCTGTTTAACAGATGAAGTAAATTAGGTCCGGAGAGCATAGGTGATTTGCCTCTGGTCAGAGCACAAGCCAGTGGCAGGACCCTGACGTGAAACGGAATGCACTACTCAGGACCATGTTGCTTGTGGGTCTGTGCACGCGTGTAGAGATGTGCAAATGAAATCTCCTTTATGTGCACAAAGCTGGAGCTACCGTAACTCAACTCAAAAAAGAGAAGAACATAAACTCATAAATATTTGAAAAATATACATTCTAATACCCACCTCACCACAGAGGACCGGGTGCAGACCGGGGCAGTGGCCAGAGTCAGGGGGACTCACCTTACGGGTGAGGATTTCACCACGCTGCCGAGAGCCAAGGATTCCAGAACGCACAATACCCGGAAGTTGCCAAGGGCACACGCAGATGGTGTAATCAATGACAAATCAGAAACAGGACATGAATTATGGGAGAGGAAAGAGGCTTGGGCCCCCAGCTCCAGCTCTGAATCTCGGAGAATTCCACAGGGCCTTGTGAAGGTTAAGCGCTGGGGTCAAGCAGGTAGACCTCTGCCTACTAAAAACCCACGCGCAGAGGGGCCGAGGGGCCAAACAACCGGAGGAACTAGCAGGCGGCTGGACCGTGCACGAGGCAACAGGAAGGGGCGACAGAGCTCCCCAGCCTGGAAATACTAATCATGCAGACCCAGACGCTGGCCCTGTACACACGGTACACAGCCGACGCTGAAAAGATTAGTTGTTGATATGGACTGTTGATAGCCATCGTGTGCACAGTTCCGTTAGCTGAACGAGACAGCTGTCTAAAAAGCAAAATTCTGGTTTCCAGTTGGTGTCATTCTGACACACGCACTTTTCTAAAAACAGCAAAACAAGAACCTCTGTTTCAGAACATAGGATGTTTTGAAGGTTATATTCTTGGCATTTAGAAAAGAGTCAACAGCCTCTTGGCTCTTGGACTGTAGTTAAAATCATAGATTTTTTTTTTTCCTGAAATAAGTTTCCAGGCAAAGGATAAATTACTCTGCATCAGATAGTAAAAAAAAAAAAAAAAAAAAAAAAAAAAAATTACTCTTGATTGCCATACTTTCAAAATATATCAAAGGATGACCATCATTTAAAAGATATTCATAAATATCTGTAGTGATCTATGAATAAAACGTGGACACAGTATCTACTTATCTGTTAAAGGATGCTCTCTGGGAAGGGGTGAGGAAAGCCAGGAGTTGGGAATTTAGAGATGAGGGGGGCAAACAGGAGGAAGCAGGAGGAAGACAGGGGACAGAATGCACTTCTCAGGTCTCAAGAAGCCAGGTGAGGATCCCGCCTCAAGGTGCTGACACTGAATTGGACCAGTGAGGGCTGAAGAAGGAAAGGTTTCAGGAGAAACCAACTCTGACTTCCGGCCCCCCGGCTGCGAGAGACGAAATCCCTGTTGTTCTAGTGTCCCCGTCTGTGGGACCTGCTCTGAGAGCCCCAGCAAGCCTGTACGTTCATCAAACCCAGAGCAAGAAGGTTTATCCCCAGAGCGGGGCCCCGAGCACCCCAGCACCTCCAGCTCCATCAGCACACGAGCGCCGCCTGTCCCGGCCTCCCCTGCGCCGACCCCTTGCTGCCGGTGGAGCCCGCCTCCCACTCCTGCTTGGCCTACTTCTCCTGGACACCGCCCCCGATCCCCCAGAGCCAGGGTACCAGACACAGCCCGCCTGTCACCACACCGTCAGCCTCCTGGAAAGAGAGCTTCTCTGCACCTCTTCCCCTTCCGAATGGAGTTACGTGTCCAGCACTGTGAATGCTACACAGCCAGACGTGCACATTGGCTTCCTGTCTTAGGTTTTGAAATAAAAACTATAGCTCCTTTTGCACCGCTCTTTGAGCGGGTGAACAAACGAGTGTCAGGAGAAGCGGGTGATGCTCTGGGGGGGGGGCCGGGAGGGGAGCGGGTCCTGGCAGCCGGGTGCTGGCCCACCGCTCTGGGAGCAGAGCAAGACCAGGGCCCGGGGAGCGGCCATCTGAGCTGAGGGTGGACAGGCCTTAAGGTGTGGGGTAGCTGTGGGCAGGCTGGGCCTTTTTCACACTTGCTAGTGAGGTGAGTCAGGTGACTCTCTGTCCTGGTGAAGTCTACTTTTGCCGACAGTAAAAAGGAGAGTGTCTGGATTGGCTTGAGACCGACAGTCATTAGCGGATTCTGTGAAATCAGGCAGATGCTTGGATGCTGAGACGTCCATCCAAAAGCCCCACGGCTACAGGGAAGGGGGGCGTGGGCATCGGGCTTCCCCCAGAAAAGCCCATTTGTGTGCCTGGGACCACAGACCCCAACAGCTACTGCGCTCAGAAGCACCCTCCCCGCCATGCCCGTGAGCCGATCCCTACCTAAGATCCATGTTTCTGACAGATACTTGACGGTCGCCCTCCTCCTTCCTTGGGAGGGTCCGATGAAGATGCCGGCCTGGCGTGGGATTCTCGTGATCTGACCCCCACAGAGGACGACCAGTTCCCATAGCTTGGTTCTGGGGGGGTTGCTGGCCGGGGTGATGAACATCACAGGCTGGTCGGCAAACAGGGTTCCCTGGTACTGTCCCGCAGATAAGTGGCGCTCCAGGCGGCAGAGCTGTTGGGCAGAGACAGGGAAGATTACCAAGGCACTGAATCATGTCATCGTGTAGGGCAGCCCAGCTGCAAAGTTCCCTTCCTTTTTCGGGAGAAGAAAAGACTGAAGGTAAAGGTGCGCATTCTCAGCTGAATTCTGAATTCCGAGGATCCCGGGGAGGTAATGACATTAATGATAGTGACAGATAACGAGCAGATAAAATTGACATTTGCTGAAGCAGCTTGCAAGCAAAACTGTAAACAAATTTATAGCCCTCCTCCCCCCCAACCCCCAAAAAATTGTTTAGGTTTTGAATTACTACAAATCGTAAACCAAAAGCTTGAAAAGGAATCAACTGTTGAGTGCTGAGAACAGCACCTGCATCCTGTAAATGCTATTCACGTTCTTTGGGAGGGTGTGGAAGGGAAAGCAGGAGCCTCTAGAAGGCAAGCCCGGCTGCCCTGGACCAGCACAGGCCAGCGCAAGGTGCCTCGGGGCTCCTGCAGCACGTGACTCTCACCAGGAGCTCCTGGGCACCCTGCACCCGGCCCTGCAGTGCCGGCAAAGGGGGAAGGAGGCAACAGGGAGTGGAGGTCCCAGACAGAGCTAATCCCCAACACATGAAGCTGCGGGGGGTGGGGTGGGAAGCATCTAGAGGCTTATTTCACTGAGTCATTGTGGAAATGGTGATGAGCAGTATCGGAGACAGTGGGAAACATTTTCAGAAACAGTGATGTTAAATTGTTCTCCTTTTGGTCCTGATAAAGTTGTGGTCGGCTGGCTGACCCAAGGGACAGTGGAAGGCCTGCTTACTCTAAACAGACATTTCACTAACTACAGATTAATAAAGACTTCTTTTTAAGTGTAGCTATCCTGTGGGAGATGTTGAGGGTGAACTGTCATCCACATTTTGAGTATTTTAATCAGCCGATTTCCCTGAGGACAGAACTGAACATTTCAGATACGTGGGCTCAGCGAAATTAAGGATTTGGAGTGGAGATATGTGGGAACAGGGATAGAGGGGAGCATCTCAGGGGGACATAACCTGCGTGGGGCAGTGCGGAGGGAAATGCCTGCCAGTCAATGGCTGGAGGCTGGCCCCTGAGCACGGAGAGGGGCCGGCTCTGGAGGTGGGAGGGCAGCAGAGGACCCCTTCCTCAGTCTCCATCACTGACCTTCTTCCACTAGGTTTTCATACTAAGAAAAGAAATTTCTTGATGAAAAACGTTGCCCCAACAGTAACACAATCAGCCCAGTACACTTAAATATGGCCGTGGAATCAATTCTCTTTACTCATCACCAGTTTTGAATTATGCAATGTAAGACCTGACATATAACTCCTTTCATCTGATTGGGTAAGTGGTGCAGGATCCACACAATGTGTGATGACTTTGTTTAATGCTTTTAGTAATTTCCAGCTTTCCTGTGAGATAGGGGGTAGAAAGGGTTTCATTTAATTTTGCAGACGAAGACATTTAGGCGGAAGCTCGTCAAGCTTTGGCTAAATGGTGAGTCAAGCTGCAAGAAACAAGCCACAATCCCTGAACTTGGTGAGTCACTGGACCGTGTTGCATTGTAACTGCAGATCAAGAAATAATCTTACTAAGGCTTGACACAATCACGCATTAAAAAAACTAATTATAAAAGTAGTTGGTAATTGAAATGATAAAGAAGGGTATAAAGTAGAACGAATTCTCCCCACTGCTGTCTGTTAATCAAATTCATCCTTCTCCCGTCCTCCTCAGTGGTAGGGCATGATCTCTTTGGGGGGTGCTAATCTGTGCAGGGCCATGTGTTCAAGACAGGCGCCCCTCCCAGACCAAGGTAGGACTCAGGATTGGTCCAGGCAAATCATGGTGATCTCATCTCCCTTTCAAAGGATTGGGTCTAGCATGGACTAGACTTGATCATGGCCAATGGGATCTGAGAAGAAGTCTGCTGAGGGCAGTCTTTCTTCACTGATATAAACCAATGCATAAGCAAAAATACCTCTCTTATTGGCTGGACTCTGTCATAGTGATAATAGGATATCTGGAATTATTGAAGCCACCTGAGGCCATAAAACATGCTGAAAATAACTGAGTAGGAAGGCCTGGATCTTGGATAATGTTTCTAAGTCACTGGATTGACCAAACCCGGAATTATCCTTTTTCCCTGCCCCCCCCCCCCTTTCTGTGTCAGGGGAAAACTTTTTTCACTTCCTCACACTCCTCTTTTGTTAATTTGTGTTTCCAGAAGCACAAAGCATCCAGATGCTGGTCCTCAGGCCTCTGCCACCTACCAGAGGTAACCCCTGTTAAGTGTTTGCTATGTGTTTTTCTAACCTCTGTACAATGTTCACGCACAAAAACATTCAGGAGATGATTTTTCTTTTTTCTTCTTTTTTTTTAAATGTTTATTTTTGAGAGAGAGAGAGAGAGTGAGAGAGAGGGAGACACAGAATCCGAAGAAGGCTCCAGGCTCCAAGCTGTCAGCACAGAGCCCGATGCAGGGCTCGAACCACGAACGGTGAGAACGTGACCCGAGCAGAAGTCAGATGCCTAACCAACTGAGCCACCCAGGTGCCCCAGGAGATGATTTTTCTTAACAACAACAGCAAAGCAAGATCAAGTCTGTATCTTGGTATATGGATAAGCAGTAAATCAAACCCATACTGAACCCAATAGAAAAGGACATGTGTAAACCTTTCACATGGTTAGAATGTGACTTGAGTACCTGATTGCTTTGGTTCTTCATTCCCCTCCCACGTTTGTTGAGTGCTTACTCCCTACCAGGCACGTGCAAGATGCTGGGGGAGCAGAGAGGATTAAGACATAGTCCCTGACCTCAGTGTAAAGCACGTAATACAAAAGTCAACATATGAAAATAATTCCTTTTATTTATTTATTCAGCTTGAAATTAAAGGAGGCAAAGAATTACAAAGATCTTATTCTTTCCTCAAAATAATTGAGGCTATGTGCATGCTGACTTTCTAATCCTAAGTAAAATAATTTCTGGGAAAGCTTAATCAAGATTTAGGTTACTTAAAATTAAAAATTAATTTGGGAATTTATCCTAGGAATACACTCCTTGATGTATATAAGGACACGCATGGACAGGAGTTCATTGCCATAGAAACGGTGATTGGCAAGTTTTATTTATATTATAAATACGATAGGACACGGGATTCTCCTTGTTACGGAGCTTTCAGCTACACTCATTCTCGAAGCGGAAGGTCTCCAGAATGTGATCCTTCCCCAGTAGTCCCCGAGGACAGACTGCCCTGGCTATTGTCCCCGAGAGTCTGTAGACACAAGTTCCCGGGCAGCCTTATCCTGGAGATCACGCTCTGTCTCTGAAGGCACGACAGTAAAACTGGTTTACTGCTGTATGTGCTGTTGCCTTAAGAATTCTGACCAGGGCTAGTCAACTTGACTCTCTGGCCCAAAGCACAGTTTTGTCCCCACGGGTACATTCTTGAAAACCAGCTGAGAATTAAAAGGTTACTAGCAGCACAGAAAGCGAACAGGGCAGCGGAGCATGCCATAGGTGCCCGAGGACACCCTCTGACCGCGCCACCTTACCCCAAAAGGCTTTCTCTTAGTTCACGGTTGAGGAGAAAAGCCTCAAACGCACAAATTTCAAAGTTAACGTGCTGTGCATTATCCTTACCTTCTCAAGCCCCTTTGCAATAGCCTTCTCAGCAATTTGTTCTAAATTCTCGTTCCATTTCACACTTTTCAACAAATGTGTGCGACAGATGCTGTCAACTGTAGAAACAGATCGGGGTGGTGTGGGTGCCAAAGGGGAGCTCACTGCAGGGCTGACTGTGGTGAGCCGTTTCTGTTCTTAACTCAGAGAAACCCTCAGAGAGAACCAGGTCTGTCTACATTGACCTAGGAGTTTCCTGCTAAAAGCTGTTAATTTTTTTTGGAGAATCGTAACTCTCTTACTGGTTCATTTTATCTAACTCCGATGCTGTAATGGTTCCAAGGAGAACTGACACATCCATAGATTGGGTATATGGGGAAGGACCGGCAACTGATGCAAAAAACTGGCTCTTCCATGGGGGTGAGGCGTTCCCTCCGCCAGACAGGATTTAGCTCCTGCCCACAGACAAGATTCATTTGCACCACCAGCCGGTCATTCCGCCTCACAGAGCTGGGAGCGGTGTGGGCCACGATCAGACAGCCGGAAAAGTGACCACAGTCTAAAAAAGTGCAGTTTTCCAATGAAGCACTCAATTCTCCCTACAAAGCCCAGGGTATCTGTTTAAAAATCATGGAAGGAAAGGGGATTAGCGGACTCCTCTAGGCTTAATTAGCCTCCACGATAAAACAGGACGGGTCAGTAGTCAGGGTGCATTTGAATTCGGGGTGGATTTCAGAAGAGCTCCCACTTTCCCCATGGAGTCATAAAATCATTACATAAATGAACATTTACGTTGCGTGCGTGTGTGGGTAAAAAGACAAGGAGAGGGCTGACAGAAGACAGAAAACTTTTTCTGCCACAAGCTCTTCATTTGAACTCTGGGTTGTAAAGGATTAGGGACTACAAGGGAAGGGTCTTAAGTCAGTGAAACAAAAAAGGTATGAACTGTGCTTTGTAAAAGGTTGCCTTTGCATTTGTGTCGTCACCAAAAAAAGCTGTACGGATTTAACAGATCTTGGCTCGGAACCTTGCACTCTATTTACAAGGCAGACCCTACTGTTGACAGAGCTGAGCAATGCCTGTGCCCCAGTGCTTCCAGCTTCCATGACCCCCAGTGATCTACCGCACGGCTGGGAGGGTCACTGACGTGACCCTCCCACTGACTCCAGACATGGGTGTTAGATTTCAATTAGTAAATCTGCTTCTCTCTCCAGGTAGAGCTCACCTGGATGATCATTCTGAATCACTGACAGTTTCCATAGGTACCCACAAGCCACGCACAGAAGAGGCACAAGTCCATCATTAGGAAATTCTCACAGCAAAATTCTCTGGTTCTGCGTTGGAAGAACCAGAAGCTCAGGGAGGTTGGTTTGTTTTGGTTTGCCTGATGA